GATTTAAGCGTAGATAGTGGCAGTTTTTGCTGCAAGAGGTTCACTGCCAACGGCCTCATGTTGCAGTTTCTTTCAGAAGTTTGGAACAAGCAGTCGACGAGTAGTACAACCAAAGTGGCACTCTGGTAGTTGATGCCACTGGTTGGGTTCACTAAAAATGTGGGAGGGTGGCCACTTTCTGCAGCCTCTTCTGCTAGGTTGGCCTTTCGCATTGTGATGGTGGCCTTCGAAGCTTGGCTTAAGGGCTGACGTTCTGGGATGATAAGAACCCCCAAGCGAAATGTAGAATCGTCCAACTTAGCCGGGACAAGCGAATTGGATGTCATACTGGCACACCTTTTTCTGGTTGAGGTCAGGGGCAGAGGCATTTGGAGTAGGGCCGGTGAGCAAGTAAAAATTTGCCCTTATCATCTTCGTCTTGATTTCTTAGCTTCAGAATTTCAAGTTGTTTTTTTTTAGCTCTGTCAATTTCGCATATTATTCGATGTCGGACAATGATTTCATCTCGACTCTCTTCCCCGGCCAAGGTGTCCTTTACCTCGGGTGACTTGGTCCACTGATCACACCTTTCCCATGTCTCCCTCTATCAAAGTTGGATTGCAGTACTTGCACATCTTCTCCTCAAGTTGCATGCTTTCCTGCGATACATCCAGGGAAAACAGGACAAGGCCTCAGTCTGGGCAAGTGAGTCTTGCTGAGGTATGGGCCTTCGGGTGATCCATCCGATCCAGTCTGCAATGCTTTGTGGAATCTGACTTAATCTGTTCGCGCTTTGAGGGACACACGTACTGTTTGCGGGTCAAAGGTTGCAAGCCACAGCAGATTTACTGCCGATGACCCTTCAGCACGAGCGTCCTTCCTCATGCCGAGTGATGATGTTAATGGTCACCCAGTGCAATCCGGTTTTCTGTCCTCAGGCCACTTGTCAACTTGTACACTAGAAGATGGGATTGGCGCACATTCAATATACTGTAAATTGTAGGATTAGAGGTGACAGTTGCCAGCTTCAAACTTCCTTTGATCAAAGGAATGACCACATGAGGAATGACCACATGTTCATCCACTGTAAGGAACTAATCAAAATGTCTCAAAATGTACATCATCCGCCATAAAAGTCAACCCTCTTGTATCACAGACACATTATTGTCACTAAATAAGTGCTTGAACTGAACATAGTTGCGCGCAGTATGCAAAGTCTCATGTATCCAAGGGCCTGTGGATTGCTGTGGTTCCCCCTTGCCTCTGCACATGAGACGTGATGAAGCCTCATTCTCATGTGCTTGGATTGTTTGCAGCCTGCCACAGGAGAGTAGAAAGATGGACATTCTTCGCAAAGAGCAACACTTTGCAAGAACAGGTTTTGCAGTCTTTCAACGTGTCTGAGTTTTCCTCTCCTTGGGTAGCCCTTGCAACCTTGTTCGAGGAAGCTTGGCGTTGGAGCACTCCGATGTTTTCAGCACTTAGTCTTATCTTTCTAGGGCACATACGACAGATATTGCTGTAAGTGGATTCTTATCAAACGTTTGAACACTTCGTGACGACCGATGGCTTCTTGTATTAACCACGTCGGCACATGACAACTCATCAATCGCAGGATGAATTGTTGGCCCGAGTGCGCCAGAGCTGATTATTTGAACACTTGTAGCCAGTTGTGAAGGCCATGGCAACGCTTGAAGTTTCCAATGTTTCCAACGTGAACTACTAAACATATAGTCAGGGTATGTCAGGGTGAGAAGCATTGCCAGTAGAAAGGGTATTTTCAAATCTGGTCACAAGAAGTTGCACGTCTTTGTACCCAAGCGCTGTCAGGACCTTGAACGAAGACGTATTTTGATTCATTTGCATATGTGGGGTGCCACCAAGAGCATCCACCAACTTTGATAAGCACTTTCATCGTAGAAGTTGCGCGTGGTATCCGCTCCTACTGAGTATTGTAACGGATTCTGGAAATCTCTGATACGGGAATATGAAACGTACTGCAGCCTCACACTCCACCTTTTGTTGCTAATCTACGGACAAAAACGATAGGTGTCAACTCCTTTGCAATACAGCCCGAGTGCTGCAAAGAATCCGACTGGTCGCAGTTCAGAATCCCTCACTCCTCAAGTGTGGATAATCTTGGGGTAAAGAAGATGAGGGTTCCTCACATTCTTATTGCTTTCCTAATATTATATATACAATTATATATAATAATAATAGTAATAAGAATGATGATAGTAACAATAATGATAAAAATGATCATAAGATCAATGATAATAATAATGATATTAATAATAATAAAATTATTATATATATATATATGCATATGTAATGTATATACAAATATATATAAATATAAATATATATAAATAAATATATATATATACATATATATATATATGTATATATATATATACATACATACATGTTTAATATGTATATACATACATACATTACATTTTATATACATACATTACATTACAGTACGGTACAGTACATTGCATTGCATTGCATTCCATTGCATTACATTACAGGGGTTCAAGAGGCTTGGGGATGCTAAAAAAACGAATAAAGGTAATAAAGGACTTTAGCTTTGTTCTTTTTGGGGCTAGGGGCCCAAGAGGCTTCTGGATGCTGAAAGAATTCTTCAGAGCCTAAGAGTCTTTTTTGGGGCTGCTAAGGGCTAGAGGCTCGGGATGCTCAAAGAACCTTTCAGGGCCAAAATATTGTTTCCCCTTCCGAAAGGCATCTCTTACAAGCGGCGCAGGGGCTCGGTTCCTCTTGGGTCCCTTCTGGGGCTCGTTCCGAAGTTTATTTTTGATCTAATACGAGGTTTATTTTTACGACACGTGACAGCATCAACGTTGTCTTCAGGACATTTGGATCTAGAATCCAGACTGACTGGTCTCGATGTGAGTCACCCAACTGGAATCGCAGAATCCACATCTGATATATGGTACTTCGCTGTATGCAATTGTCTCTTCTCCAGCAACATGAAATTGGCGGAGCTACGCGAGAAGAGCTTCGTCTCAATGAGCTGACTGTCAGCAACAGCAAGCCTAAGCTGCAACAAGACCTCAACCAACAAATGTTTCGATATGTTTCGATCAAGAATTTCAGACTTTGCTGCATTTGGGTTTCGTTGCTTCTGAAGGCTTGGAATGTTGGTGGTTCTACAGGGAACGCCCCCAAGATGCCAGTGCATCGCCACGTTGCTAACGAAGTTCAAGGTGGTTTCCCTTCTTTATTGAACTTTATTTCTTCTACTGCTTCTACTCTCGCAATCCAAAGATGTCACGATGTCACTAAGCAAAGTGTGGTTTTGTGGTTTAGTAAGTTTAGTACTCTGGGAGCCAACCTTGACCAACACTTCCAGGCGGTTTTTTGCTTGGCTGGCAAAAAAGGAAGCGGAATACAAAGCAAAGGCAGAAGCGCGTTGATTCTTATGCAGCTATGCGAACCGCACTGGAGAGACCATGCACGAGTCATGGGCAGTCCCTGTGTCACTAAGTGTCACTATGTTGCTTGCCATTCTTGCAAGATCTAGAAGATAAGGCAAAATAAGGCTGTGATTTGTGCATCATCACTTTTGGGTGTGACACACGGTCCATTGCTGGGACTTCCATAGTTCGTTCAAAAGCAAACGGTTCTAGGGGCTCGAATGTGCGCAGCAGCACTTGGTAGCTCTGAAGCGGAAAACGGAGGGGAACTCTGATTATGGCTCATTATTTAAAACTTTGAAAACACAAAGGCATCCATTTCAGTGCTGTCCCTTGGTTGAAACACAAGTTCTGACAGACTCATACTAGTTGGTTTCAGAGCAACCTGCAAATCTGAGGCTGTTCAGGATCACAATTCCTTCAAAGTGAACTGGGAGAATAGTAAGTCATGATCCATCCATTTCTTCGCTGTTGGGTTGCCCTGAACAGATTTCTGCCAGCCAGCACCTCTAAGGAGTTTCAGCAATGTACCCTTGAATCAACGATCAGAGTTTTCTAACCTGAAATTAGACACTCCTGGTTTTTGCACCGCTTTGTAGTGCAAAGATGGATAAACAATCTCTCACTGCAGCACGCCTGGCCGGGCTGGGCATGAGAGAGGACACAGTGAGGGCTTTCCATCTCCCTTGCCTGCAAAATGAGTGTCCCACTTGCTGATTCGGATGTGAGATTCGAGAGATGCCATGCAAAAGTGATGCGAGATGCAGCCTTCTCAAAGGTTCCTAACAGTCCAAACACCAGGCTCAAATCCAAGGCAGCAATACTTTCTGGTCCATCATAACGTGGAGGTTAATAGGCAAATTGGCACCTTCTTAGAAACTTTCACAGGAAGCATTTGGTGTTTAGAGCATCCAAAGACGAATTTCAATGTCCGCTGGACGTTGTGCCTGGAGATTGCTGCAAGAAAGGAAAAGGCGTGACTGTAAGCTTCATTAGTCAGGCCGGCAACCGGCAAATTCCAGAGGAGCTTTGCGCTTCTCAAAGCTTGTTTGGTCGTTGGAGATTGCTTTGTCCTCGAAGAACTGTGATCAAGATGCCTGCACGGAAACGTTTTCTTCGGACTTCACAGCACTTGTGCTCTTGCTTTGAGATTTTTTTGTCAGGTCTTTTGGGTCTGCAGAAGGCTCAAGTGTTTAGGAAGAGAAGAGGAAGAGCTCTGATTGTCAAGGGTCCGTGAAGAACGTTGGGCTCCAAGGTTGCCTTTTCTCAAGAGAAAACATACAATATTCCGCGTTTAGTATCCTTGCCAGGTCCTTTTTGCTTGGGTGCTTTAAACTAGTTTGCATTCGTATCTCAACCAGTTGCTTGGTGTTGCTGAGATCCCATCACTAAAGATATAACATGATAGAACAGTAGAACTGGGTTCTTTCTTGCTTGGAGTTTAATACCATCAAGGTACCTTCTCACCATGACCTGTGACATCTGTGACATCTGTGACATCTGTGACATCTGTGACATCTGTGACATCTGTGACATCTGTGACATCTGTGACATGTGTAGCCTCAAGACGCTTTTCAGGTCATGGCGACTCGAGTCTGGAGCTTAGCCGTGAAGGCAGCGGGCAGCGACGGCCGACTCAACCTGTGACCTCTGAGGCATCAATGATGCAGCCCATACCTGCTGAGATCAAAGTGGGTGTGAGATGTCAGGCTGAAAGATCTGAAAGCTATAAGCTGCTGCTTCCGTCGGAGAGATAATATCTAGGTTTCCATGGTTTCCCACAAGGTTTTTGTCCATTCAGAATCACGCAAGAAGACATGCAGCAGATAGCAGTCTTTTACCTTGCTTGATCTCAACAAAATCTTTCGACTCCAAAAGATTGTGGCATGCTATGTTTTGATCATTTCGGGCACAGCTAGGATTGCTTTGCATGGCAGCAACAAGAAACATTCAGACAAATGTTGTCAGGTACTTGGAAAGTTCATGGGCACTGTCAAGTTCGTTGGGCCATTTGGCGGCAGCTTGCGTTTGTTTGTTTGTTTGTTGGTTGGTTGGTTGGTTGGCTGGTTGGCTGGCTGACTGGCTGGTTGGTTGGTTGGTTGGTTGGTTGGTTGGTTGGTCGTTGTTTGTGTTGGGAATTCTTCCATGTATCATTTTTTTCAACTTTGATTGTTCGCGCAATTTGGGCAGAACATCTGATTATGTTTGAAGTATTGAGTGTCATTGCATTCAATGCTGCCGACTTGGAAGAACCGACCATAGAAACCATAGTGATAATAGTGGCGGTGCTGGCGGTGCTTCTGCTGCTGCTGCTGCTGATGATGATGACAACGATGATTATGTTCGCGGTGATGATGATGATGATGATGATGATGATGATGCTCGTCTCCGGACTCCAGCATGTTGACTCATTTTGGCTTGCCTCTGAGCCTGACAGCTTTGGGCACTGAGGGGAACAAAATTTGCTGCTGGCCCATGGGTTGGCGTGGAGCTGGACCGGGGTTGGCGTGAAGCGCCGATAGCCTCAGCCAGAGACACAAACAGGTCTATCCCAAAGTGAAATGCGTCGCAGAGTTTTGATTCCGTTGTTGGATAAGTTCCAATTCTTTTCAGAATCTCTGATACTTACTGATAGTTATTAGTTATGATGTCTCGCAGGCCTAGTCCCAATCACAGCCACGAAAGGACGCAGAAGAGGGCAAAAACGATGGCACAGTTCAGGGCGAAAGGTGCGGATGCCCATAAGAAATTGGTTTCGGATTCGGCGAGTTCTAAAGTCTCGGTGAATGCGTCCTTTTCGGGGAGTGTGGGGTTTGCTTGGATACAGCAAATTGTCGATCACAGCACTATCGATGCTTCTTCTGTCATGTTCCAAAGTAGTGGTTGATGCACTGGTGGGTCTCTGCAGTCCCAGAATTACAGACACAACTGCGCATGATAAAAACAATCCATTGGCACCTTTGTGTTTGTCCAAGAGCAGGAACAGAAGCTACCCCAAGCTGTTGTGCCATTTCGCCAGTCTGCCAGGTACTTCCAGAGCAAACCAGGACCTATGTAGACATGTCTTGATTTCTTCACCGCTTGTTGGGACTCAAAAAACACTGAGATCTGAGATCTGAGTCTAGTGGGTTGATGAAAGCCACCAAACGACCATTTGAGCTCTAGGATTTGAACATATTTGAGTTGACCAGTTGGCATCATTGGAGCCGGCCACTTGCAGGACACGGCATCTTCGCTAGGCCCAACTCAGTGAGGCGCTTCCAAACTCTTCGAATCTCACCTTTTTCCAGTCAGCAAAGTAGTTCCTTGAATGACGGCTGTTTGGGTTGCTATCTCGCAGGCCTGAACCATCCTTAACCGCATTTGTGCTTGACTCAGCCACAAGGACAAGAGACATCAGGTTCCAAGTTAGAACATGGATCTGCCGCTTAGTAGGTGGATTTTGAAGCAGAGTGGAGTAATTGTAAGTTTGGATGTTCGAAATGTGGAGGCTGCTCGAAATGTGGAGTTTGGCAGTGATTGATGTTCGTCAGCTTGTATTTTGCACTTGGAATCAGCCTGCACATGGCTGCTCTGAGCTCTTTCAAGGCTATGCCAGGCGAGATGCCAGAAACCCCTGAGAGTGTGCAGGTGGGGAAGGTGGCTGTCTTGACGGAGACGATTCTAAGTAGCGCGACCAACTGGATCTACGGCGGCGAAAATCAAACAATGCTGGCAGCCGATGGCATGATTGGAATAGTGAGCACTTGGTTTGGCTTCATTCTCACCAGGCTGCGCCAGAATCGCCCGGCGAGCAGCAGCCTCATCTTTTGCCCTGGTCAGATGCATGTGATGTTTTTGTTTCTGTGAATTTGGACGAAGACCTTCAGTATCCGAACGACACTGAAAAGCAGGACAGGTTGAATCTGATCAGGCTTGTATCTTGCCCATCTGCAAGACAGGAAAGGCCGTGTCACAGGACAACAGGACACAAGCTGGCCGCTGCCAAGGTCTACACCGTCAAAGATGTGGACACGCAGAGCCAGCATAGAACCTGATCTTAGGTGCCACCGTTCTTTTTTTGTCAGTGCAGGTGCAGTGACCATTAAAGAGTGGTATTTCAACAGCATAATATTGGTATTGGTTTGGTTGGGCCTGAACACTAAAGATCTACACGGTGAATCCATGGTGGGCGCAGGCAAGACATTTGCGTTGAAGAGCGGGTTGACTTGATTAGCCTTCTCAGCAGGGTTGCTCAGTTCCTTAGGATTGCTGTTCAATGGCTTCTTTTGGTGATTCCAAGACATTTAAACAATGTCTGAGCTGTCAAAATAGGATTGATCCATGTAAAGAAATACTGACACACACACACATCACACACATCGCTATGTGTATATTCAGTTTATATATATATAATATAAAATGAAAATTCAAAGTAGCAACTGTTGTCTCTCTCACTGTTGCAGCTGTTGCCGTGCGCTCCTTTTGTACTGTTGGACAAAAGCTTCAGGCTCAAGGACTGTTGATCCACAATGTTGGTGTGCGCAGTGTTGTGTTTAACACCGCCTCTCAGTTTGTTGACCCTATGGTCAGCACACTGGACACATACACAAAAAAAATGCTGTTGAAACTCTGTACATCCCGATGGCTTATTGTTGAAGCAGTTGGAGCCGCTGCTGTAGTCTCATCAGCATCTCTGTTGTTTTAGGATGTTGAATCCAAGGATGTTTCAGTTTCACCCTGGGCTGTTAATCTCCGGGTGTCAGCCTCACCCTTGTTGGATGACTCATCATCCTTCCATCTGTTGGTCATCTTCTGGTGTTGGGCCATGATAGCTGTTGAACTCTTCAATGTATCGTGGCATATTTGTGTTGGAGTTCACATGCTCCAACACTGCCTGGTTTCCCCTGAGGCGTTCTGTTGTTTTGGCGCCCCAATAAGGGATCTGGATGCCCTGTTGGAGTGGGCGTTGATTCTCCAGGATTTGGTTCAGGTGTTGCTGAACTTCTGCAGGCAGCTTGTTGAATGCCTGAACCCCAGTGTACTCCAGGCCGTTGACGAGTGCCTGGTACCAACCATGTTGTGGTCCTGATACTTGTTGAATTGGCACAGGGACGTTGTAGTGCCAAATGAAGCCCTGTTGCCAACTGGTCATGTTGGCTATCGATTGGAGGATGCTGCCTCCTGTGGACATGGACTCCACGTCCCAGATCTGAACAGATGCCATCTCATCTGTTGTAAGGCAGAGCTGTTGTCCTGATTCGATCTGGAGCTGGCTGACCATGTTGTAAGCTCTGTTGAAGAGATTCACGGTGGCCTGTCCAAGGCGCTTCTTCTGTTGCACCGTGTTGGTACACAGTGACATCAGCTTGGTTGCTGCTCTCTGTGGAATTCCGTTGCATGAAAGAAAAGGTTGCACATGGCCATCGATGGTCTTGAGGACAATATCAATTTGTCCCAACGCGGGCACATGGTGTTTCCCTTCAGTGTTGACGGGACACCTGTTGCCGGCGTGATGGCCTCAAACAGCTCTGTTGGTAGAGCTAACCACCAAACGTCCCTGTTGATGTCAAAGGACGCATTGTTGTAATCGTCAGGCCCCGTGTTGGTTGGATTGACCACTTGGGACAAGTTGACTGCTCAAAAGTCCCAATGTTGTCATCGTCATCTTTGGGATCACCGGGACTGTTGGCTCTCGATGCACGTGGATGTTGAGGAGTGTTGCCATCCTCGAAGTCAAGAGCGTTGACGATGTCCACCGGTGTTGGAGCAGGAATGACAGCTGCGGTCAAATAAAAAATGTTGCACTCACTGTTGTCAACAAAATGTTGACATCCACAAAACTGCACATCAAACTGTTGAATTCTTCAAACTGATGAGTTCCCTCAAGTCTTGCAAAAAAAACATGTTGTGTTTCACAGACATGTTGAGTAGGATACGTACCAATACTCCATCATGTAGTGCACTTTCATGTTGAAGTAGTGCATATCGAAAAATCATGTTGAAGTACTGTACAAATATCTTGTTGATGTACCCCATGGTGAAGTATAGGGGATCACTATGAGGTAGTTCATGCTGTCAATCTTTGTTGACACCATGGCTCAAAAAAGATGTATGTTTGTGTGTGTACGCTACGCACGTTGTTCGCACGTTGTACACGCGTTCGCACATTAACGCGCATGCTGCAGTGAAACTGTTGCTGTTGCTGGTTGTTGTTGTCTGCTCAGTGATGCTGGGTGCTGATGCCAACATCACTGATGTGACGCAAGAGCGTCTCTGTTGCAACGTACTTGGTGAAGATGTCGGCCGGGTTGTTGATGGTGTTGATCTTGACAATCCTCACGAGGTCGTGTGCGACCAATTGTTGTATGAAAAGGTGCTTGAGCTCGATGTGTTTGGCTTTCTTTGATGATCCGATTCTTGTTGCCATGCTCTTTCCGCTTGATGAATCGGTGTGTATGCGGATGCTGATCTTCTTTATGTCGAGAGCTTCCTTCAGGAAGTTGCTGATGTGTAGTGCTTCTGTTGCTCCGGTGTTGATTGCATAGAGTTCTGCTTCCGCGCTGCTCAGCGCAATCGTTGCCTGTGTTCTGCTGCCGTAGTGGATTGTTGCTCCAAAGACTTTGATCAGAAATCCTGTTGTTGACTTCCTTGTTGTGGCGCATCCTGCCCAGTCGCTGTCGTCAAAGACCTGGATGTCTGGTGCTGCTTCAGCTGTTGGTGTCTTGGTTGTTGGTCTTACATATTGTTTGTAGTGTTGCGTCCCCTTGATGTACCTGAGTAGGTGTTTCAGTTTCTGCTGGTCTGCTGTTGTTGGCTGTGTCAGTGCTCTTGCAAGCTCCTTTGTTGCAAAGCCAATATCTGGCCTTGTGTAGGTCATCCATTGTAGCTTGCCAACCATCCTTCGGTAAGCTGCATGTTCTTCTTTGTTGAGTTCTTGTTCCATCTCTGATGTTGCTTTCAGAGAGTTGTTGCCTGGTGCTGGTGCTGAGTTACAGTTGAGCATACTGGCTTCTTCCAGCAACTGTGTTGTGTAGCTATCTGCGAGGCTGATCTCGTAGTAGTCACCTTTGTTGCACATGTTTCTGCCCAAAAAGCTGATGGTGTTGCCGACTGTGAGCTCTCCTGTTGGACGAAGTAGAAGGTGCTGCTGAATGCTCTTGAACAGCTTGTTGACCGTCTCCTGTTGTCCAATGAAGAGAAGGTCGTCCACATAGCATAGGATGTAGGCGTCTCCTTGTGGTGTTGCGTAGACATTGGGCTCGCTCACGAGGCGTCGTAGTCCAAGTTGTTGCATCACCTCTGCTAGGTGGTTTTGCCATGCTTTTGGACTGCTGCGTAGTCCATAGATGGCTTTGTTGAGTCGCCACACTATCTGGTCGAAGGCGTTGTAGAACTCTGCTGGTGGATACATGAAAAGATCTGCTGTTGCTGCTGCTGCATGTAGAAAGGCTGTTGCAATGTCTCCTGTGAGACAAATCCAGTTGTTGCAAAGTGCCAGGACGAGTAGCATCCTCAGGACGCAGAAGATTGGTGTTGACGCGTTGATCTCCTCTGTGTAACCTTTGGCCACTATTCTTGCTCGAACTGTGTTGCCTTTCTGTCGAAGAACCCATCTTGACTTGATGATCTTCTTGCGTTGTTCTGGTGTGAGTTGGCTGATGTGTACTTCTGTGTATACACCTTGTTCCTTCATTGACTTGATTTCTTGCTTCATTCCTTCTGTTGTTTGTTCCTTGTCTAAACCTTCGGTGTTGTTCACCCAAGGTTCCAGGAGAATCTTCTCTGCTTTGATCTGCTGTTCATCCTCATTGGATGTTGCTTCTATCTTCTGTCCTTTCTTCGTTGTGACTGTAACTTGTGATATCCTCATTCTCGTTGTTGGTGGCTCCTGAGCTGTGTCAGGTCTGCTGGCTGCTGTGGCTCTTTCTGTTGTTCTTGCTTGCTTTGGTGAGCTGCCTTGTGTGATCTCCTCTGCTACTTCTCGTTTGCTCTGTGTTGGCATTGGAAGTGGCTGCCTTGCTTGCTGAGTTGTTGGCGCTGTTGCCATTGGAAGGTCTGAAAGTGCTGGTGGTGGTATAGTGTGTGGTTGTCCCATGGCTTTTGGCTGTGGACTCTGCTGAGTCTGTGTACTTGTTGTTGTCTGCTGCTTTGCTGCAGCAGGTTGTGGTAGTACCACAATGTTCGGTGTTGTTGGTGGTGTCATGGCTGGTGAAGAGTTGATGATGTCCATCAACTGCTTGTTGTACTTGTCTGGCTTTGTTTGTCTTCGAATGTTCCTTGCTCTGACCACTTTGTTGCTGATGCCAAGTATGTTCTCGTTTGTTGAGTTGTCCTTACCCAACCAAATGGCCGGATAGAACCTTGCTTCCATCTTTGGCATATGTTTTGCTGTTGGTAACATGTAAAGAACTGTTTCACCAAACTCACAGATTGGTGTTTGTGTTCTTTGCCGTCTGTAGTGGCTTGTGTTTCCATCTGAGTGGATGGAGTACCTGTTGATAAGGTATGCTGAATGTTTCACAAGCCACGGCATGATGGGATGCTTGCTGTTGAGCTTGATGCCATAGTTGGTCTCCAGTTGGAGTTTGATGGCTCTGGCTTGGCCCATCAATGTTCTGTGGAAACGTTCGACGCTTCCTTGTGCTTGTGATGTGTAGGCTGGTGCTTGCCTCACTGCTATGTTGCTGCCCATTGCTGTTGCCACCATCTTGATCAAAGAGATGATAAAGTCTTCTTGGTCTGATTGAAGAACGGTGTTGTTGAGAACTGCATGTGTTCTGCCACATTCCATCAGGAGTTGTTGTAGGCAGAATGACAGGTATTGCACGTGTTGTGTCTTGTCCTCAAGTTGGACTGCCATGCACATGCCTGTTTCAACATCCACTGCTGTGAGGACTGATGTTGTTTGTTTCTCTCCTAATGCTTTGTAGCACATCAGATCCACTTGGATCACTGGTGTTTTGCTTGTTTGCTTTGGGTGGTTGTCTTGTCTTCCTTTGCTTTGTACGCATATTGGACACCAGCTTCTGTAGGGAAGGTGTGTCAGTTCATGTTCTCTTCGTGCTTGTTCTGTTGGTTGTTGTGGTGTTGGAACTCCTGTTGCTCTCTTTGCTTCTCGTTGCTCCTCTAGATCATCTGTGATGAACTCGTCTTTGTATGATGTGTTCTCCTCAAAGTTTGTTGAGCCTGACCACTCTATGTCTAGTGTTGCTTTCCTCTTTGTTGTCCAGTCATCATCGATTCTGTATCCTCTGTTGCCACTTGTTGGCTTCAGCATTGTTTGTCTCCATGTTGTCAGTCTTGTCACGTCTGGTCCATCATCTGTTTGTTGTGGAATGTACATGTCCCTTCTTGGTTGGACATGTACACGTTTCCAATATGGACCTTCTTTGATCCAATAGTCCTGTGTTGGACTGACTTCCTTTGGATGTGGAATTGCTGGTTGGTGTGGCTGTGTCGTGGTCATTGCTTGACCTGTTGGTCTCACTTCAGTGAGAGGCTTCTTCACATTGTGTCGATACTTTGGTGCTTGTGGTTGATCGGCCGTGGGTTGTTGAGACGTTGTTTGTGTTGGCCCTCTGGCTGGTGGAAGTGCTGGTTGTGGTGGTATGTTGCCTGGAAGGGGTGTTCCCCTTTTCACTTTGAACCATGTTTCTCCTGTCCAGTTGTTTCCTTGTATGATCCTCTTCTCGGTATGCTTCTTCAATGACCTCTGTGTTGTTGTTTGGTCTCTGTATGACTGTTCTTCTGTAGTTCTTCAACCTTTCTGTTGGAACTGGACATCTGCTGTCTGGCATGAACAATGCCTTGCGTTGTGTTCTGTGGATTCTTACCAAGAAGCCTTGGCTGTTGAATGTGCACAGATCGTTCTTGTTGCGAAGGATCTCCATGCCTGTTGGTGTCAGTGTGACTGGTGATATTTTTGCTGTTGTTCCTTCTGCTGTTTGGTTGACTTCAAGCCTCAAGTTGGCTGGCAGTGTTATCAGCACAACTGGCAAGAAGTAAAGGCCTTCTCGTTGCTTGAGTGCTGGGTTGAATCCCTTGGTGTGTGTGATCGTTGGTGCTTCGTTGAGTTGTGTGTTGAACCCTTGTTCTGCCAGTCTTGTTACTGACATAATGGGTTGTGTCACATCACACACATAGAAGGGAACAACCAGTGTTTGCTTGTTGGTGTTGTGCATGTACACCCATTTGTAGCCGTGTACTTGGATGTCTTCATCTGTTGCTGTCCTTAGCCTAGGTCCGTGTCCATGTTGTAATGGATACAGTGGTGTGTCTGGTGCAAACCATATTGGACAAACGTGTGTTGCTGCACCACTGTCGATCATAATTTCCACCTCAGTGTTTCCACTCTGCTGTTGAACGGCTTGAATTGTTGTGGTTGCTTCATTGTGGGCACTCGCTGCCTGATGGCCCAGTGCTCCCACAAGTTGAATTGTTGGTGTTTGGCTGCTTGTGGGTGGTGCTTGCAATGCTAGCTGTTGTTGTTGTTGTTGTTGGACTGGCTGGATGTTGTAGTTACCTGACTGGTCGTTGCTGTACCAGTAGTTGTCATACCCACTGTTTGGGTCATACCATTGTGCTGTTCCATTCTGATTCTGTTCCGGTGGTGTCTCTGACATGTTGTACACCGCTGTTCGGCAATCCTTTGCCAAGTGGCCCTGTTGACCACATCTGTAGCATATTGCTGTTGCATTCTTTCCTTTTCCTTTGTAGGGAATTCCTTTCGACTTTCGTTTGTTACCTTTGTCTCCTCCTTTTGGCTGATACCATTGTTGTTGCTTTCCTTTGGCCTT